ACTCTCCCCTCAGTCTCTCCCAGGTCCTGGCAGGGTCACAGGGGTCTCTCCCAGGTCCTGGCAGGGTCACAGGGGGCTCTCCCAGGTCCTGGCAGGGTCACAGGGGTCTCTCCCAGGTCCTGGCAGTGTCACAGGGGTGTCCCCCAGGTCCTGGCAGGGTCACAGGGAGCTCTCCCAGGTCCTGGCAGCTCACAGGAAGACGGGGGAGGGGCAGAGTCCATAAAGTGCCGAAGAGGCCGCGGGGCCGGGGGGTCCCCGGGTATTGCATTGATCCAGAACATTCCACGGGCGGGGATTGGGGGGGAGGGGCCGGGAACCCCCATTGGGGAACCCCAAAATTTGGGGAATTCCTGGAATTTGGGGAATTCCTGGAATTTGGGGAATTCCTGGGATTTGGGGAATTCCCGGAGTTTGGGGGATCCCAGATTTGGGAATTCCTGGAATTTGGGGGGAATTTGAGGGGCCAGGAGCCCCCTGGATTTCAGGAATCCCGGGATTCAGGAATTCCCCCCCAATCTGGGAAATTCACGGAATTTGGGGAATCCCAGAATTTGGGGGATTTAGGGGGAATTTGAGGGGCCAGGACCCCCTGATTTGGGAAATCCTGGGATTTGGGGAATTCTGGAATTTAGGGATTCCCAAAATTTGGGGCCAATTCCCAGAATTTGGGGTGGATTCCCAGAATTTGGGGCGGATTCCCAGAATTTGGGGCGGATTTCCAGAATTTGGGGCAGATTTCCAGTATTTTGGGGTGCATTCCCAGTATTTGGGGTGCATTCCCCGTATTTGGGGTGGATTCCCAGTATTGGTGATGATTCCCAGTATCCAGGTGAAAATTCCCAGTATTTGGTGGATGATTCCCAGTATTTTGGGGTGAATTCCCAGGATTTGGGATGATGATCTCCAGTATTTGGTGACGATTCCCAGGATTTGGTGATGATTCCCAGGATTTGGGGTGCATTCCCAAGATTTGGGGCCAATTCCCGGTATTTGGGGTGAATTCCCAGTATTTGGTGATGATCTCCAGTATCTGGTGATGATTCCCGGTATCCAGGTGAAAATTCCCAGTTTTTAGGACGGATTCCTGGGATTTGGGATGATGATCTCCAGCATCCAGGTGATGATCCCCAGAATTTGGGGCCAATTCCCAGAATTTGGGACCGATTCCCAGGATTTGGGGCTGATT